TGGTGGGCTCTTACACTCCACTCTTGCACCTCAGTATGTACTGAATATTTCCAGTGTTCAGAGAAGAGACCGTGTTCCTCTGGTACAATGACACCTGGACACTTTCATGTGCTTCACTAGTGCCAATAGTGATTGTCAATTACACCTTAAAACAACAGTATCTGACAAGAGAAAGCACAGTGCACAAGTGAACCCTTTATCCAATGCAGTAGTGGTGTTTCTGCCACTGCTATCATGTGATGAATGCACTCTAATTAATTACACTGGTAGTTGAATATACTGGCTCATGATTAAAATGTGTTCCATCCAAATTAAGTAGACAGTTTTGGCACATTTATTAAATAATGATTGAAAGTAATAATAAAGGCTCTCCCAGTAATATTATTTTCAAAGAAAAGGCTGTGAAATACTTAAGTTGAATGGTTAGAAAGGATGATGAAAATGCACAAAACCATGTATGTCTGGAAAATTAAGTAGAGCGCGCATGTTCAAACCAAGAGAGGAAAATTCATATGTATCAGACACTGATAGTCCTGGGATAGGGTATCTGTAGCATTGTAACAAAATTAGGTGGCATTTTGCTATTTTGATATTGTCTAGCTACAAGATGTGAATTAATTGGTGTCTTTGAGGGGAAAAAATGGTGATGTATTACTTTATTAGAACAAGCTCTACCTCTAGGACAGGATTCTGAGTTTGAATTAATATCTGTTTGAGGTTTCTTGTGTTTTCAGTAGGTTAATTTTCCTAGTCTTGTTCTCTCAAACTAGGAACCATGCCACAACTATTTATTAAATGTGCCATTATGTCAAAGTCATTTTTCAGAGATGAGTGAAAATGGAAATGAAGTCATAGGGGTTACACCAGCAGTGAATTTGTCTCAAGACAATAGTAGGGAAATATTTCTGGAAGTGGAACCTTATCTGTGATAACTTTGCTCCTGTTAAATCTACCAGAATAGTTTACTCTACAATTTCCTCTGAAGGCAAAATCTTTCTTAAGACATCTATCAGTTTGATCCTATGAAGGAAAAAGTTTCCTGAATTGAGTAGCAAAGCCATGTACTAAGCTGTTAATGAGACTTTCCTTCCATGCAAAGGAAAAGATGTTAAATCTGCATTGTTGAAATGTTTAATAAGCAAACCTTATCATCTTACAGTCAAACACTTAGTGTATGGTGATAGGTGAATCCAACTCTCAATATAAAACAGTGATAAAAGTCTTATCTTAGAAAAGTAACTTCAAAATGTGTAGTGTCAGAAAAATCCTGTCCTGAACACCTACAGGACAACCCTTTTCCTATGACATTGCCCCCAGATTATGACTATTTAATGTCTGTCTTCCTTTCTTTATGAATGAAATGGAAAAAATAAATATTACTTCTTTTTTCCTTGTCAAAGGGGTGGCTACGTTTAATCATATTATGTAAATCCTTTTTAAAAGCATCAAATCAGTTTTTGGTCTTGCAATTTGTAATGCTGCTCAAATAAAAAAAAAAAAACCACAACAATTTATTTGTAGATAAAAGCAGTTCTGTATGAACCCTAACAAAAATTAACAATGCTATTTATTTTTAATATCATTCTCACACACATCCTCCTCTCTTCCCAGGACCTTAATCAGTTCTTACTTCCGTAGCTCAAGGAGACTTGAGCTGCAAGTTGAAATCACCAGCCTTACTCCTAGTAGTGCTAGATGAAACTTTTACTAACATTACAAGACTAGTTTCCATTTCTATGTGGCAGTCTGCTTTCAGAAGAGGTTCTTAACATTGAAAAAAAAATCATTCTAAATGCAAATGCTCTGCATATCATAACATATAGTAATGCAAAAGTCAAGGATCACATGTGTTGTCAGCTGTGTTGGGCTGATGTAGTCGTAGCTGTGCTTTCATTGGCATTACTAGACATTTGCACCACTCCAAACTAGAGTAGGTTTTCTTCTATAGTTCATGCTAAAAGGCATGACTCTTCTTTCCTTCATGCCTACTGTAAAGCAGCAGGAACACAACTGAGACAACTGTAGTTAACTGATTTTATTTTTTTTTTCTGTGAATATAATGCAGTAATCTATTAACTATGTACTCCCCTCTTATTCTGGCTGGTGTGCCACCTTTTTCTGGTGAACCTCTGGAAGGACAGTTTGAGCCGTGATGGCTGCCTCTGTGGTCGGCTGCTTTACCCACGGGTGTGAGCAGCTCTGTTGGAGTTGGCAGTTCTGGCTTTCACAGCACCTTGGGGACAGGGCAGAGAGGATGAAGCCTGTCTCCCCTGCAGGCAGCACATGGGAGGACTAGGGGCCTGTCATTATCATTAGAGGTTTCTGATGGGAGGGTCTTCAAAGTGGACACCAGCTTGCATGGCTGCCACAGCTGCAATACACTGACTAGATTTTAGGTCTACAAAATGTGCGTTGAGCATCAACATGTCCAGAATGCTTATACCATGTTCGATTGTGTTTATTTTTGTTTTCCCACTGAGCTTTTCCTGATAGCTCCAAAGCCTTTATTTCTTGTAAGAAGCATCTTGTGTGTCTGGGCATGTGTACTGGCATGGATCCTATTGCCTGGAATACTAGGCCAGTTTGAGGAAAGAATTCTGCTTTGGGCAGCTATCCAGATTTCCTTATACCCAGTGCTAAGGGACACAGTCTTTGGCTGCTAATGGAAAAATCACTGACGTCTGGTTCCACCAGAGGACTCAGATGGTGAGATGCTCTGTTGCAATTTAAGTGAAGTACAAAAGGAAAAAGGAATGTTGGTCTGTTCTGGATGTGTGTACAGGGTAAAGCAGAAAGTCTCATTGATCTGGTTTATCTAGTTGTACTTACTCCTGACCCATAGCAGACACTGCACTAGAAGGGTAAAAGCTACACCAAATCATGGTTTATTTTATTTTTTGATACACAAGCTTAATTTATTATATGCTACAGACTGAAGTAATCACCATAAATGATAAGCAACTGTTAATGTGTTCCTGTTAGATAGAACAAGCAGATACAGATGTAAATAGCATTTCAGACTGTTCTTGAACAGTGTTTGAGATGGGGGGGAGGGGGGAAAGATTTTCCCTTTGCTCAAACAAACCATTTCTGAAAGAGTAAGCGGTGTTATAATCTGTAGTGAATCTAATATTAATAACATTGCTGAAAAGCTAATAATGAAAATGACCAATTAAATGTTAAGTGCAAAGAAATAAAAATGTTTGAGAACAAGATTTCAGTTTGTATTGCAGCACACCGATGAGATTCAAATCCTACTGTACACATTTTGTTGATCATGTTATGCTTTTTATAATCAGGAGTATTTTTACATGATACAGAGTGAGTAGTTTCTAAGATCTCTCATTACAACAAAATCTATTTGATAACCTTTAAGTTTAACATTTTAATACAGAGGTTTTAGTTTTTATCTGTATAATGAATATTCTGTTCCAAATGATTGGCTGTATTTTTGCCACAGCAGGCAAAATTGTGAGAAATAAAAATAGTTTAACGTTTTATAGTTAGAAGATGTGATTTTCCTCTTACCTCTGCTTTCAAATATGGACACACACAACTGAACCTATGAATTCAGAAATAAGATTTTTAATAAGTACTCATAAATAGTAATTGATCAGAACTTTTTTAATTTATCAAAAATAACTGATTAAATTATCATATTATATACAATAATCATACCTGATTATTTCATTCATAAAATGTGATGTAAATTAGATTACTAATTATATTTATTTTTCCCAATTTTCCTGTCCTTTTCATCCTGCGTGATACACTCTCATGGTGATTGCTGTATGCAAATTCCTAGCACAGCTGCACTGGAGGTGATTCGGAGTTGTTTCACTGACCTCAGCAACAACTCCATCAAGTCCTTGCCCTCTCTGATCTTGTCTTCATCACCCTGAAGGACTGAGTTGCCATTTTACCATAATAGTGACCCTCTTGAACTGGTGCGAGGCTTCTCATATGTCTGTGCCAGTGCTAATCCCAGTGTACATTTATATATATTTGTAGTGTGTATAAATATATAAATTCTCAGAAGCAGCTCTTCTGTTATTTTCACAAGCACTACATGACTTCCAGGCACAATTTTGCCAAAAAAAAAAAATCTTTATTCATTTAAACATGAAAAAATGTATAATAGTCAACAGAACTTATTTTTTGTGTCTTCAGTTCAATGGAATCATTTTAAAAATTTGTTGCACCTTTCATTTTAGGAGATTTTTAGTTCTAGAATGTTATATAACATATATATGTTATATATAACGTATAATGTTATATATATATATATATAACATATAATGTTATATAACATTCTAGAGTGTTATATAAAATAATCTGTAACTATCAGACAGGAATAGATGTCAAAAAGGCTTCCTTTCTGGTCAGTACCCTGCACACGACTAAGGATGTGTAGAAGAGTGCAGTGTCATCTCTTAGCACTAAGTTAACAATAGTCATAGTCATCGAAACACTAAAAAACCCAGTTAAGTTACTGCATGTAGTATAGAATTATCCTTGCTCAATGAAACTGATCCTTCAGAGAATACTTTTTCACAAATAATAACAGTGTCATTGGGTTTGCATTCACTGTAGTGTTTTTAACAGCTGGTGCTCAGTTTATTTGTAGTAACTTGAATTACGAGTTGTGTGATGGGAGAGGAGGACTTGATAAGCTCTGTAAGTTATGGTATTTGGGTTACCTTTTTACATATACTTGACCTGTACTGTCATCATTTCATTCTCATAAAGGCATGAGGTAGCCCGTATCTGAAGTCTCCAACTGGTGTTATATGGAAATATTAAAAGTCCCCAATGTGTGAAATGCTTGAACGTGCGATTGTATAAATGTGGCTTGTTCCAAAGTAGTATCAGTAGCCAATTGGATCACATGCAATGATGCAAATGGTGCTAATAGTCTTGCGTGTTTTCCCTGTACTTCTTCACCATCACCCTTTATTACTGTATCTTCTGAATTCTCCCTTCATTTTCTTTCAACAAAGGCAAGTATGCCATGAGGGATCTGGTCCACCGACTGCCAGGCGCTAACAACAGCAACAGCTCAGCGAGCAAGGCCATGTCTGATGACACCGTTACTGCCATTTGCTGCACTCTGCACGAAGTCATCACTAAAAACATGGAGAATGCCAAGGCCTTACGAGACGCAGGCGGCATTGAGAAACTGGTTGGCATATCTAAGAGTAAAGGAGACAAGTATGTTTTGCAAATCACCTTGCACCTTTTTTAACATCTCCAGTAGTTATTACTAGTCCTGAATGTGTTTCCCTCTTCTGTGCAATCATGAGTTGAACTCTTTAGTTGAATCAGAAATCATTTGTCCAGTGGGAAAGGTGACAAGAAACAGAGAATGCAAATAGCAAAAGTTTCTGCTGTGGTTTATTTTTGATGTACCATCAGCAGTGCATGGAGTGCACTGCACGTGCAGTTTAAGGAAGAGCGATTACTTACAGTAACTACTACCTCTAAGCACTTCCAGAAGATCCTGATAAACATTAGGGACCAGAGCTGTTGGATTGCACCCTGCAGAGGGGTGATGTGCAGGTGGAGGGATCCTGTGAAAGGAAGGGACCTCACTGTATCTCTGTTACTGCTCCTCTTGCTCTGGGAGTGAAGAATGTAAAGCCACTATCCCTCTTCACAGCACCCTTTTCCCTGCCACCAGCTTGGTGGTAGGGTGGGGCATAGTAGAAAAATGGATCCATAGATTTTCCCAACACCATGCTTCTGAGGGAGAATTAGGGTTCCTGCAGGCTATTTTGTGAGGCACCAGAACATGCAAAAATCTTACACAAACTGTGACATTTTCCAAGCAGCTATGGTTTCATCTTGTCTGTTTTCCTATGTACGCACTCTTCATGAAGAGTTCATTCTTTATCCTTCTTTTGCCTGAAACAGATAGCGTGGTTCTCATATTTGTCAACCTGCAGAAGTATAGTGCAATGGGACTTTGGCAGTTTGAAAACAAAAAGCCTTCACTGTAGTGTACAAAACCCATCAGTCCACCTACTCGAAGCTGTCATCACACAGCCTACTGCAGCATCAGAGCTCTAAAAGAGCCCCACAAAGCCAGGCCACAACCTGAAGGAAAGATTTATGCACCCTACATTTGGTATGAGAACTTATGCTCGCCTATGTGATCGGAGCATTGCCAATATACTTTAATCACATTTCTTTTCCTCTATTGTCACCCTTTTCTTTTCATACCAAATTCATTATTGAAACATTCTCACATTCTAATTGTAAAGGATAAAACGTAGTAGCGTAACAAAATAAGTGATTCCAGTTGTGGCAGCTCCCCATGCTCTGCTGATTTATTTGCATTTGCATTTTTATTATTATTAAATCTATATCAAATATACTGATATTGCAAGCAGGTTCATATCCATTCCTCTTAAGTTGAATGTTTCTTTCCTCAGAATAATGCAGTTGTCTACCTGTTCATTATCTGGTAGAGGTTATTAATACCTATTGGGTCTGGAATTTTCCAAGTATCATGGGCAGTTTTAGGAGAATACAAGGGTATAAGTCCCTAAGTATTCCTCACAACTGTGAAAGACATATCCATGTTGAATGAAAGTATTTAGTCCAGGTAGTGTTCAGTAATTCCAAAATGCCCTCCCAAATCGTGATATGTATCACTTCTCTCAAGTACTTTGAGTTGCAGTCCTATGTTATTACTGTTACAGGTTACACAGTTCTAGAACAAGAAAACCTGTCAACTCATAGTGCTATAAATGTCCATCTTAAGTGAAAGTTCAATTTTTTCGGCTCCCAGAAGTGTTAGTGTTGTGCACCATTACTTTGGTTTGGTTTCTTATAAATAATCCACTGTTTAAAAATCAGAATTGCTGGTTGTTAGACTGATAGCAAATTCTGACATGCTCACTTTAATACGGTAAAACACTTCAGTATGAATTCATCTTGTCCGGTGTGAAGTCTGCTTCTAAAAGTGCAGGATACCAGCTTGGCCATGCATCCTGCTATGTATCAGAGCCAGGAGTGTGGGGCTGGCCCCACTAGCCTTTGGAGCATGCCCAGGGCTTGAGTGCTTTCCCTCTGTGATGGCACAAGAGAACTGGTGTTCAGAAGGTCATATTGGCCAAGCCCATATTGGCTTTCCATAGTTCCTGTTTCTCCTCAGTACTCACAGCAAGGATGGCGCAGTTATTTTCCTGGTTGCTCCATGCTACCAGCGCCCAGCTAGCCAGTACAGCTGGCACTATAATAAAAACAATTATGCTTGAAAAGGTTTATCAAATTCCAATTTATTCACCAGTTACTCACCTGTTGCTGTAGTCTGGGCGAGAAATAGGAGAAAAGGAGAAAAAAGCACCAAATAAATTACTAGGAAAATAGTGTATAAGTTATTTGAATCAGTTGTGTCATGAATATTGCTTCACCAGCCCGAGTGTCAGCCTACCAGTAGTCCTTCTCAGAGGTGACAGGCTGCACCAGAGCATGAGAAGATTTCCTGCCCAAACCAGTAATATATGCTGCTGGTTTTCTGGTTTCTCTTTGGTTTTGCAATTGGTATGCTTTTTCTGAGTAAAACATGAATCACCTCAGTGACTGCCCCAAACTCCCTCAGTCCTCACTCCAAACTTCAGCCTTTGCAAGGCATACATTGCAAGGCATACATTGCAAGGTTTTCTAGCACTCTGCTGCTTTAAGTGTGTTATTGGTACAGCACAGTGTATGCTTCCTCAATGGACTGGATTATTTTCCCAGTCCTTTTCTATCTGACCCTTCTTCACTGAGCTGAATATGCACTGATTAATTTTTTTTTTTAGATTTTTTTTAAATGTGACCTATCCCGAGAACAATATATGACTCCCAACTGATTGTTACAATAGTTTAGAACTTCTTTCAAAACCCTTCTGAAGAAAAAGTCCATGTGAAGTTGGTTTTCAACATGACATTACATTGCCATCGTTAAAGGGTAATGGTGTGAGTAAGACGCAAGTCCTAATTTGGATTGCTAATGAAATTTGTCCTGACTTGTTATAAACAGTCTCATTTCTGCATCTTGGCTCTGCACTTCAAAAACTGTGCTCATCACCTATCTACAGTGGGTTTTTTTGGCCACTGCTAAGAGGCTCTTAATGTGTTGAGCCACTCTGTCATGAGTTTAAGTTTGGCAGCTTGTGGAGAAAGAATCTCTGGCTCTAACTTCTTGTCCTTTATGGCAAAAGTTGTAGCCAGGACATCTTCTTAGATGTACATAATCCGGTTGGGTCCTCAACAATTTTGCCAGTTGCTGCCCCTCCCATTCCTCCTCTTATGCTCTCAGCATGAATCCTTGTTCTCAGTGTGCTGAGGAACACACATTTTGCTCCTCACTGAATAATTAGTACTACAGAAATAGCATGTATTGCCCTTGCTTAAAAACACATTGGTCTCCAAGATGCCAACCAAAGATCTTGTGGTACATTTAAAACACAACTTTAATTGTGGGTTTTTAAATCCATGGCAGTGCATTTGAAAATTGGGATGAACGGAGTCCGGTAATTAACAGTCTCTTTCTCACTCTTTCTTTCTCTCTCTCTCCCTTTTTAATATATGTGTGTAACAGGCATTCGCCAAAAGTGGTGAAAGCAGCATCTCAGGTCCTCAATAGTATGTGGCAGTACAGAGACCTGAGAAGTCTCTACAAGAAGGTAAGGCTTGGGTTTTTTCTGGATTTGTCATCTTTCATGTGGTTACCCAAATTTGGGGGCTGAGAGACTTTAGACCAAAACATTTATATGAACTAGAAATTCACCTAGAGTTTAAAATTTCAGATACTTGGAGCTATGGGTTTTTCCCTTTTTTTCTACTATTACCATGGAAATACCTTTTGATTATAATTATAGTTTTGATTGAAATACATGTGGCTGTGAAAAGGGGATGTGAATTTGATTTTCAAAAGAATTCATACAGAAAGTGCTGGATCTGACAGCCCTGGAGAGTGAAGTTCTCTGTTCATAGAACAAACTTATGCAAGCTCTCCTACTGTACTGTACCCTCTTACACCTCCCCACCCTGCCCTGAAGAGATTACCAAATTCCCAGCCCTTCAGCTCCCAAATTTCCTCATGAGTTTGTAAACAAGAGTATCTGAAGGGAGTTGTGCTTAAGGACCAGTTACACGTGGAGCTGGGCTGAAACCTCATAGCTTCACTTCCAATTGGCTGGTAGACAGTAGGATCATACGCTTGGTTTTCAGTCTATGGAGTCTATAGTACCATACCATTCCCACAGGCCTGCTAATCTCTTAAAAATGAATCACAATATGGTAATACAATATTGTGAAACAACATCCAATATAGCTTTTAAAACATAAGTATCTACTTAGTAAATGACAATGTTTAAAGTAATTCTTGCTGAGTATTTCCAAACTTATATATGAGTATCAGCCTGCAGATTTAGTTCTCGGAGGTCTTCTTGCTACATGGAATTTCACAGCTGATCTAATTGATACTTGTATTTGTAATCTCAGCAAAGAGAGCTAAAACTTCATATGGCACAAAAGTTCAGGTCCTAGTTAAAAATGAGGCATAAGAATTGTGAAACATGGAAGGTTCACAGCAGCATAGTCTGTGCTGTGTATGCATTTTGCACAAGCAAAGAACTTAGTTATGCACCAAATCTCAAACTGGCAGAAGCTGCCCTTCTGTTCGAAATGCTGTTCTTTTACGTGCCTCAGCCCTGCTTGTGTCAAGTCTGAGGAGTAAGGAAGGGGATTATTGAGTCTCTCCCATTGTTCACTTCCAGTATTTTCAGTCATCCTTGGCAGACTTAGGGATAACATACGCGAAGATGTTCCAAGTAAGGAGCTGGTACGCAACTGTCCCATTCAGAGGTGGGAACAAACATGAGCTGGAGTAGGCTCTTCTTGACGCAAGGCAGTAACAGACTGGGAGTGTGCATAGCCTGACTTCTGTGCATGTGGGTGGCTGTACTGTAGAGGCTGAACTTTATTGCACCCTAATCTCTTTGAGGTTCTTACAATGGCTCATTTCCAGCCTTCTGTTTGTATATATATGCTGTGATAGAAAAGCAGTTTCTGGGGTTGCTCCGTGCATGAGGTAGTCTATATGCTGTATGGCCTCTGAGTATACTGCTGTCTAAAGGACGTTCTGTCAGTTGCCAGTGTGAATGCCTGGTAATGTACTTACACACTAAGCGTGCTTGGGTACTAGGTACCTTGAATGCTTAAAAGAACACTTTCTGTGGCCACAAATACATACCTGTGGTATGGAAAGCAGGGCAGGCTAGCCTTTGAGGTAGCTTCCAGGACACTCATTACATACGCTGATAAGCATTGTATAAATACAATTACTTTTGATCAAAATGTTCAGATAGTTCATTTAAGATACTCCTGTTTATTAAAAAACATATAGTGATCTTTAATATTTAAAGTCCACCATATTTATTGAACTCGCCAGTAGTAGGCTGACTGTTATGCTGGCTGGCTGAGTTTCACCACTGTTGGGAAGATAATGGTTTTATGATAGAAAAATTAGAAAAAGTTTGCAGTATACTAGTATTCAGCTAGTTATGTCATATGAAGACACTAGGTCAATGCAATCTTTATTTTGTCCCATTAAAACATATATACTAGTAAAAATAAGTAAACATACAGTAGGCAGTAAAATATGATCAGCACTTTGCAGTATCTTGCACTTACACAGCCTTTTTGAAGTGCAGGTAAATCCCATTGCATAACCATCAGCAATTTCTTCCTGTGTACTGAAGTATCTATACAATTACTTTCAAAGAATTGGTGGCCTATGGAGAGGCACAATTTTGTATTGCAATACAAGGAAATCACAAGCATCACATCATATTTAAGAAAAAGCAGCAGTACTTACCTTACTGTTTGAGAGAAAGTGTAACCAGATAGTTTGAATTGTAGTATATTTTAGAGCTATGTGTGTACAGTAGAGTAAGGAGGGGTAAAAAGAATAGAAGGATTATCCTTTGTATTAATGATGAAAGAAGGCAATATATATTTACTGCTGATACAGTAGTAGTTGATATATTTAGTCTGAATATGACTGTATCAATAAAAACATGAAAACCTCATTCACTTTACTAATTTTGCTCAACATTATAGGGATCATCCCCTAGCTGGCAGAATGTAAACAACACTGACAGAAAGTCCATCCAGAGTTGGGGATTGGTGTGGTCACCTAATGAATTCCCACACCAGTGAAGGCCCAAAAGCCAAGAAGTACGTAGGCACAATTTCCCACTTGCAGCACTGCCCCATGAACTCCTGGCTGTGAAGTGGCAACAAGCGCAGGAGTCAGAAACAAGTCCTCCACCTGCTGCCAGTAGCAGGGCTGTCCTGAGCAAGGTACATATATATATATATACAAGCTCCATCCCATCGTGGGTGAGCAAGTTCTTCAGCTTTAACCAAGGCTAGAACATTAATGTACCTATGTAGTGAAACCTAAATAAAGCAGCCTCTAAGGACACCGTCTAAATCAGTTATTGCATGAAAAATAGCCCAAATTTAACAGATTTCAGGGTGCCAGCTTCAGCTATGTTGCTTATGAAGAACAGTAGTGTGCACGATTTCATTCTGCCACTCAGTGTCTGACAGATACTGCCTGTTTCTCTGGTCAGTTCAAAGTCAAAAACTACAGCAGCAACTGCCACAACTCAGTTAACTTCACTGGCCAAATGAAACAATATATCCTGTCTCAAGGTCGTAGTATATCTGGCTAAGAATACAAAAAGTATCTTTTGACAACACAAAAATTTAAGGTCCTATCCATCTTTTTTATCCTGAAAAATGCAAAATTATTCCACAAGTCAGTGAGGGAGAAAGTATAGAAAATTAAATCTGGTAAGAGAAGTTAAAACTAGTGATATAAGTGTTTCTGGAAAAAGAGTTTTGGGCTAGCCCATGTGCTGTGTTCAAGAAGAAGGGCAGAGCAGTTGGACAGAACAAACCCTGCAAGCAATGTAGTTCCAGCAGTCCAGAGCTCAGAGTTCTGGTACCCAGGAACTTCTCTGGAATGGGCTGATCCTGCACCCAGTGAAAGCAAGGAGAAGGCCCTGTTGATTTCATAGGTCCTTTCTGTAAGCTCTCGAAAGAGCTGGAACTTCTGCAGCAAATTGAACTGTACTGGTGAGACAGGCTAACTAGGCTGCAGCATCCTCTGGGTCCTGGGATTCCCGAGATCCTATGAAAAATAAGGATTGAAGGTTTGTTGTTATCTTTGGTTCAGTTTGCTGGAGCAGAAACATTATTTTAATAGCACATTACAACAGGAGTACAACAGGAGTTGCACTCTTTGAACTGTTGGTTTTTTCTTTCAAATAGCCTTTTATTCACTAGAAGGCATGAGCTGCAACTCAAGGAAGAGAAGGGGGCATTGGCTTTCTTGTCTCAGTTTCCACTTGGAAAGCTCTGGAAGTCCATGATACCTTATGCACTGTGTTTGCAGAGCTATGTCACATCCTGTACCCTCCACTGCCAGGCTGTCTGTGCACTAACATTTCCAGTTCATAGCTATGTTGTGGCTGTAGTGGGACACATAGACTTGTTAGGCTGGGCTTACATGGAAAAGGCACAGAAAGTAAATCATCACCGTTCAGATCTGTGAGTGAGGTGACAAGTGTTTACGACCTGTTGTAGGCTTGTGCCTAAAATGAAAAAGAAGATTTCACTCCCTGTTATGGTTATTTTGGCACTATCCTAATGCAGTCCAACAAGAAAAGGTTGTAAAATGCATAAATGTTTCTGGTCCTAAAACTACAGAAAAAAGAGAACTTGACAGACCAAGAAGAAGCAATGACTTTAGTGTGGAAGTGAAGGAGTTGTCAGCCATCCCAGAAGTTTAAATTGCAGGTACTTCATCATGGAAAAGTTCACAGGAAATACTGCTCAGTTCGCTGAAACAGAAATCTAATCTGAAAAAAAAATCCCACCAGGAGGAAAACAAGGTTCAGGTTAATTTCCATATAAACAGTATTTAGATTATGTAGTGTGATTATTTTCTAAATACTACTAAAGCTTATCAAGCAAAAAGAGGTGATCATCACAATTTTTCATCAGTAGATGGAATATTGTCTTCCAAAGAGGGACTTTAGTGTCATGTCATTTTCAAATGTCTTTGTTCTCTACACGTAAGACATATTTTCATAAATGATCATTTATCTGCCTCTGTTTTCATGCGTCTGTTCTGAAATACTTAAAATCTGATTTGCAAAAGTGCTTAGTGGTGATATGGTCCCATTGCCCGTAGCCCTGAGGACAGGTCAATGGTCCAGCACCTACGAAAAACAGGTAGAGGAGCTATCCCGCTTGTCTCTGTGCTTCAGACTTATTGTACATCCCTCTTCTTCAAGTATCTTGGTAACCTGTACAATCAGCTGTAGAATTAAGTGCTGCTCACAGTCTCCAGAGAGAGGTCCTGTCCCAGTTATGCTTAGCCACCTAAGCAAGGTGAAGGAGCTAATATGGTGATTCTTTAAGGACAACTATTTCCAAGTGAGGAACACTGGACCCCACACCAGTCTCTAGGATGTTAGCTGTTCGAAGATTTGGGGACACCTTGGAAAATACAGATGTGACTGTAAGAGAACAGATTCCCATTAGCTGGTAAACTCTCATCTATATCAATATTCAAAAAAAAAATCAACTACTCTTAAACACAGAT